ATTTGATGTTGGTATAATTTGTGGAGGGGAAGGGAAAAAACAAATTGTTTAAATAGGGATACAGGTGGACCCATTGCAACAATGAGATGTACAATGTACAAGATGCTATGTCAGAAAACAATTTACAACTTTGGCACGGAGTGAAGGGGAGTGTATTCGTGGAGATGGGAGGGCAGAGATGGTAGGGGAAAAACAAAGGAGGAAGCAACAATGCTTGATAAGAAATGTACTTATTACCTTGCTCATGTAATTGTAACCCCTCTGTATGGTATTTTCACAATAAAAAAAACTTATTAAAAAGAGAACATGAAAGTGTAAAAGTTTGGGCAAATATGATCAATTTTAATTTTATTTATATTTAGACATATCTCAATAAAGTACCTTATTTTGTAGTATCCATATGAGCTCAAAAATAGTTTTTAAAATGAATTATAAGTTCAGAATCTTTAAATACACTTGTTTTCTTGCCAAAAATAACCTAATTAAATTCAGAGTATTTGATGTTCGATTTCATCAGGAGAAAGCTTCCAGGATGCTAGCTAGCAATACGAATGCCAGTGACATTCAATCTCTGAATATCTACATTCATAGCTTTGGTGGATGCCCAAAATTTATGTAAAATAGACAAGGACAGTGCAGATGGTTGAGACAGGGGTGAACATAATTAATACAAGCAGCTGTGAAGTTCTTAGTGATTCTTGGTTAATTAATGATAAACATACATTACCGGAACTCTCTGTTCCAACAGACAGTGGTTTTGAACCACGTAGTTCCTTTACATTACATTCCAAGTGTCTGTATGCTTTTTTTTTTATCATGATAACACAATGTTTGAGATGAATAATCTAGGAGGCAGAAAGGCTCATTTTAGTTCCTGTTTCAGTCAGCAATTCCTTGGCCCAGGTGCTTTGGTGAATAGAAAAGACAAAGGACCATGTTCTTTTTTGAGGTCACTCTACCAATGGCCCAAGTCCCTTACACAAGGCTCCCCACCACCCTAAACATTCTACCACCACCTCCAATAGCACTTGTAGGTGGTAAACCAAATCTTGAACCTATAATGTTTTTAAGAACATTCTTTTTTTTCTACATTTTAAATGTGAAAATACTGTACAGAGGGGTTACAATTACATGAGCAATATAATGAGTACATTTCTTATCAAGCATTGTAGACTCCTCCTTTGTTCCCCTTCCCATCCCATCCTGCCAACAATAGGGGTGGGACTGTCCTCTTCACATGAGGTACCATGAACACAGGACCCTTTGTAGCATTGATCCAAAGTAATAGCAGTGCAAGATGAAAGAAAGTCCATGTGAGAAACCCCAAGGAAATAAAAAGGGTAAGAATTAACAAAAGCCATGATGTCGGTTTTCTAGATGTTATTTGACAGTCTTTCTTAACCCACACACCAGAACACTCAGCCTTGGTATGGATGTTAGGTTGTTATTCTAAGACATTTCCTGAGTGCCCTCTTGATATCCCTGTTCCTTAAACTGTAGACAAAAGGGTTCAGCATAGGAGTGACCATGGTATACATCACTGTGGTAACCATCACCTTTGTGGTGTCATATGAAATGATGGAGTTAAAATATTCCCCCATGCCTGTTCCATAAAATAAGCACACCACTGAGGGTGAGACCCACAAGTAGAGAATGCTTTATATTTCCCACTTGTGGATGGGACTCTCAGAGTGGTAGAAACAATTCGAACATAAGAATAAAGGATGCCTGAAACCGGAACACCCCCAAAGATTGCTCCAATAATATAGATAAATATACTAATGGTAGAACTATAATCACAGGCAAGCTTAAGGAGTTGAGGTGGGTCACAGAAGAAGTGAGAAATTTCTACATCTTTGCAGAAGGTAAGTTGTGACACCATCACACTGTGTGTCAGGGAGTCCAAAAGACCCATGAACAATGACAGTAGGATCAACAAACCACACAGATGGTGGTTCATGATGGTTGGATAGTGTAAAGGGTGACAGATGGCCACCAAACGATCATAGGCCATCACTGCAAGCAGCTGACTGTCCAAACCTCCAAACAAGGCAAAAAAGAACACCTGGGTTAGGCAGCCAGCATAGCTGATGGATTTGCTGTGTGTCTGCATGTTCACCAGCATCTTGGGGACAATGGTGGAGATGAAGCAGATGTCATCTAAGGAGAGGATGGAGAGGAAGAAGTACATGGGGGTGTGGAGATGAGGGTCAGAGCTGACAGCCAGGATGATGAGCAGATTTCCGAGCAAGGCGACCATGTACATGGACAGAAGTAAGCCAGACAAGAAAGGCTGCAGTGCTGTATCCTCAGAGAGACCTTGGAGGTGGAATTCCAAGACACCTGTTAGATTCCTTGGCTCCATCTAGCACAATTACCTTTCAGAAAAATGTAGAGAGCCTGAAAGAAAGGAAAAAGCATGGATAATAGAAACCCATTACTCTATGATGTGAGTTGAAGCAATTCATAAATGAAGTTTTCATGTTTGAGGGTCACACATGTTTAGCATTGTTCCTCAGTTATGGCAATGGACTTCACATTAGTGCTCTCCCCAAATCACTTTCAGCTGTTCCTACATAATTCTAGTTTGGAAAATGTGGAATGCTTATGTCTTCCACTAAGGTAAGCTTCTACAACTGCAAGAGTAATTAGCGATCTTAAAAATATGTATCATTTCCAGAGTAGTTGAACAAGCTTAAATTCCCACCAACACTGTAATAGAGTTCCCTTTTAACCATATCCATGCTGGCATCGGTTATTGCTAGTTTTTTTGATAATGGCCATTCTAACTGGAGTGAGGTGGTATTTCAGTGTTGTTTTGATTTACATTTCCTTTATGGCCAGAGATGTTGAACATTTCTTCATGTTTCCATTGGCCACTTTTCCACTTTTTCTGGGAAGTCACTCTTTAAGCCATTAGCTCATTTATTCATTGAGTTGTCATTCCTTTGAGGGTTTAGGTTTTGGGGTAGTTAGTTTTTTAACTCTAAGTATATTTTGGATATTAGGATGTTGTTTGATGTACATCTGGTAAAAATCTTTTCCTGTTCTGTGATCTTTTTGTTTAATATGTTAGCTATGTCCTTTACTATGAAGAAACACTTTTAAATTTGATGAAATTCCATTTGTCTAATCTTTCTTTGATTTATTGTGACTCTAGATCTTAGAAAGATTTGACCAGCAATTCCATTCCAAGGCATTTATCCAATAGAGCACAAACAGGGCCACACTAAAGCTTTCAGCACAAGTGTATTCACTGCATCATTAATTACCATAGCCAAGATATGTAATCAGCCCAGATGCCCCCCAATGGATGCATACATCAAGAAAATGTAGTGTATATATACAATAGAATTCTGCTCATCCATCAGAAAGAATGATATTGTATCACTCATAAGGAAATGGAAAGACTTGGAAAGAAATTGTATAAAGCAAAGTAAGTCAGACTCAGAGAAACATAGGTTGCATGGTGTGCCTCATTTGTGGTAGCTAGAATGTGTGTTTAGATCTACAAGTAAACAAACCAGGTGGTAAGCAAGGGGGTTACAAATGAATTAACTGACATATAGACTATATGGATAGTGCAAATAGTATAATTCTTTAAAAAGTCTAAGTCAAAGCCCAAAAAACTAAGTACCAGAAAATGGGAACTTCCTGAGGGGAGGGTGGGGCTAAGAGGAGAGGGGTAGACAAATGAAAGAGGGGAAGGGGAAAAAGGAAGGCAAGAATTTACTGAGAATTGAGAAATATAAGGGAAGGGGTGGGTGGAAGGAGGAAGAGATGTTGAAGTGATGACACAGATCATTGTATACATAAACTGCTTTGTTAAATGGCAAAAATTCAATACAAAACCTAAAAATTAAGAAAAGTGAGGGAAGGGGTGGGTTGAGATGAGTAGGTGAGAATGTTGAAAGGGGTAACATTGATCAAGGTGTAAACTTATTCATAAATTGCTTTGTTGAATAGCAGCTCCTTTGTAAAACTACTTAAGGATAATAAAAATATTTTTAAAGTATGTATCAACAAAAGCTCCTCAAAACACCATTCTCTAGACCCATAAATACAAGAGTATTCTCCCTCTCCCTTAAATGGAACAGACAGAATACTCCTTTTCATTTAAAAAAATATTCCAATTAACAAATGTTACTGAGTGGTCCATTTATTTATTTTTATTCAAAATGCAGTTCTATAAATGGTCTGATGGACTATCTATGAGCACCTTTTTCTTTTCTTTCTCTTGGTGATGGGGCTTTAACTCATGTCCTACTGCTGTCCCTGAGCTTTTTTGCTCAGGGGTAGCACTCTACCATTTTGAGCCACATCTCCACTTCAAATGTTTGAGTGGTTAATTGGAGATAAGTGTATCATGGGGTCCTTTTGGCCTGGGATTCAATTCGCAATCCTCAGGTCTCAGCCTACTGAGTATAAGATTATTGGTGTGAGACCCTAGCGGCTGGCTAAGAACAACTTTCAAGGATTGTATCATAGGGTTTCTGCCTAGCAGGTGCTAGGTTCAAATCCCAGTTTGCCCTGAATTCAAATCCCTATACCATAAAAAATTTTTTTAAAAAATCTCAATTTTGTGTGTGCTGGCCCTGGAACTTGAACTCAGGGCCTGGGTGCTGTCTCTGAGCTTTTTCACTCAAGGATAGTGTTCTACCATTTGAGCAACAGCTCCACTTCTGGTAGTTTAGGGAAGCTAAAGTCTCACATACTTTTCTTCCCAGGCTGGCTTTGAAAGATGAGCCTTGGATCTCAGCCTCCTGAGTAACTAGGATTATATGTTTGAGCCACTGAAACCTGGTTTTTGATCATCTTGAATAAGTGGGATAGTTTGGAGAATAAGCTAAAAGTGGTATATTCATATAACTAATATATTTAGCAATAAACAGAATGAGCTACTTATATAAACCTTATCAATTAAGCTCTAAATAATTATAGAATGTGTGTGCTGGTGGCTCATGCCTGTAATTCTAGCTATTCAGGAGGCTGAGAGCTGAGAATCATGATTCAAAGCCAGCATCGGCAGGAAAATCCATGAATCTCTTGTCTCTAATTAACTACCAGAAAACTGGAAGTGGAGCTGTGACTCAAAGTGATAGAGTGCTAGCCTTGAGCAAAAAAAAATGCTCAGGGACAGTGCCCAGGCTCCAAGCTCAAGCCTCCTGACCAACAAAAAAGTAATAAGAATAATAATTATAGAGCATCAAGAAAACTAGAAAAGAACAAATAATTATTTTTTAGAATCTCAATCATAAAAAATCCTAAACAATGTATATTAGTCCACTGTAAAATAACTGTCCAATTAATGACTGGTAAGCTGGGAAAATAATGTATATAAAAATGGCACAAGAGAAAAAAATGTGGGTGATGCATAGACACACTATTGGAAGGAACTATTTCTTGCCCTCGTATGAGTGATTCCTGTGGAAGACTGACATGGTAGGTGAGAACAGACCTATGAATCAAGAATCCTGAAGTCCTCAGCAGAAAGAGAATATAAGCATCATGAGATTCTGAGATGACATTTTTCATATTGTGGCTCTCCCATCTAGCTGTCCATCCCAATAGTCCTGCTTCTCTGTTAGGCACCCAATTCGGGTTCCTAACAGTCCCTCCATCATTACCATAGCCCCTGGCACTCACAGGGCTGAGATCAGCTCTCCACTGGGGCAATCCAGAAGTTCAGATCCACTGTTCTCTCCTGTTGTGAATGTTGAGGGATTGAAACTTTGTTCTCAGGACTTGCCAGAAATCAGAGTCAGAGGTGAACATCTTGATGAAATGATGACTTTGGAAGAAAAGACTACACATATAGAGCTCATTGTTCTAGAATGAACAACCTATAAAACTCAAGGGCATGAATCAATTATCAGTACTTGGCATAGCCTTGAGAAACCAATACACAGGACTCACAATTAGCCTAATTGGTCTATTCTTTCCCTCTCTTTAAGGCTTGCCAATACTAATGAAATGGGGGGAAAGAGAGAAAGCATAGAGCCCAGGCTCGCCCTGATCTGAGAAAGCTGGCTTGGAAATTTTTGCATCTGATTTCCAATTTTAATTATCCTCAAAGAAATTGTGAGGGTAGACAATGGCTCACACTTGTTATCCTAGCTACTCAGAAGGCTGAGATCTGAAGATCATGTTTCAAAACCAGCCTCGGCAGGAAAGTCTGTGAGACTTTTTTCTCCAATTAACCACCAAAGATCTGGAAGTGGATCTGTGACTCAAGTGGTAGAGTGCTAGCCTTGAGCAAAAAAGCTCAGGGACAGCACCTAGGCTCTGAGTTCAAACTCTAGGATAGGTACAAAAAACTGTTTCTAATTTTATTTTATGGTTTTGATAATTGTAAGCCTGTTGTATGTACCCACCATATACTTGAGGGAAAACTGAATTTTCTAACACAAGAATCTGATACAAGGCTGGAAGTTGAGGGAAATTGTAGCTCTGAGCATTCATGTAACATGCGTGAGGCCTCAGCTTAATGGGATATTAATTTTATTCTCTCAATGAAGATTTATGTCTCTAAAAGGATGTTTATACATTCCTTTCTTTGGAGTTTTCTCAGAAATTTACAGTGTTTTGTTTGTCTTGCTTATTTAACTTTCAAGAACAAGTCATATTTTCCCTTTATAATTTCGTATATATGGTATATACAAGAAAACTACTAATAACAGAAATTAAAGGCCTAAGTGAAGAGGCGCTTCCTATTTGTGAGTTGAAATAGTGTTAAGATATCTACAAGATATTTAATATCATCTCTGTAAAAGTTCATATAAAACCATAAGAGATCCTGAATAACTAATAAAAATATGAATAAAACTGCAAAGATCACATCTCCTGATGCCAAATTACGTTGCAAAGTTACAATATTCAAAAGCATGGTACTTGCATAAAAGAAAGACACATAATTTTGAGCCAGGCGCCGGTGGCTCACGCCTGTAATCCTAGCTACTCAGAAGGCTGAGACCTGAGGATCTCGGATCAAAGCCAGCCGGGGCAGGAAAGTTCATGAGACTCTTATCTCCAATAAACCACTAGAAAACCGGAAGTGGTGCTGTAGCTTAAGTGGTAGAGCACACTCACCTTGAGCTGAAGAGCTGAGGGACAGCGCCCAGGCCCAGAGTTCAAGCACCACAACCAAAAAAAGAAAGAAAGAAAAAGAAAAAGAAAGACACATGATTTTGAAATTAACTACAACCACATATTATTCAAAGCTACTGATCATTAGGGAATTGGGAAAGGGAAGAGAAAGAGAATCTGTTGGCAACTAGTAGGTAGGGGATGGGATAACAGGAGTAAAAGAGGATAATGGATATAGTAAAAATTGATTGTCAGCATGAATGAAAATGGAACAATGAA